AGCCTTGAAAAAACGTCCACTACCTTCCTTATTGGCATTCTGAGCAGCCTTTGTGTTTCGCGGCGCTGATGTGAGCACAAGTTCTATGCAACGCAGCACAGCCTTTCCATCCTACGCAGACAGCGGATTACAGCAGCACCTTCTTACCGGCAATCAAGTACAGGAACGTCCAGCACTGGCAGTTGATCAGGTCAGTTTACTACTGCTATTCCGCAGCCCGCATAGTGCCGCATACGGTGCATAGTTCCCGCATCCTGCAAAGAGCTCGACGGTGCATCGAGCGACAGACAGTGACAGACTCGGAACACCGGGTTTCTTGGGTGCACAGGGAACTTCGACTGAGCGACCCCTGACTGAATGCTGCTAGGGGAATAAGGGTAGGGATTCGTCGGCGGCATCCAGGGCCTGTCGAGATTGGATCCGGGCTGTTGTTGCTGTGCCCTGGGAATCGGTTATTGATCCTAATCAATACTTCTGAGTGCATATTGATTTTGGCGTCAAATCAAATATTTATTCTATGATTCGAGGCGCCCAAAATCAATATCAAACCACACTTATTTTCGCCATCAAATCAATATATTTCCATGGTTTACGAAGCCTTCAAATCAATATAAACTCAATTCTGCTTAACTCTGATTAACCTCTGATTAGTTCTGATTAACTCTGATCAAACAGGCTTTTGATCAGAGACAATGATATGTTGAAACGAAATCGAAATCAATACCCAAATCAATATTCAAAGCAATTTTTAAATCAATAGAAAGAAAGCGTTTGAAATCAATATGGAGATCAATACGAGACCCATTGATTTAATCAATAAAAAGCAAGCAAATCAATACCAATATCAAATATATGCATTCTATTGATTAGGATCAATATCCGATTCCCAGGGTGGTTGAGCGCAAATGCCGGAAACAGTTTCTCAAGTCAAAGGAATGGAAAGAGGCCGCGCGGACGTTCTTGAAGCGGCGAAGAAGCACGCGCGCGCAGGTGGCGAATCACTTCCTCGGCAAGACTGGCATGCCAGACGACGTTCTGAAAGGCCTCGTCCTTGTCACCCATGATCCAAGGCTTTAGGAGGGGAAAGCAGTGTGTGTGTGTGTGTGTGTGGTACCTTGCCTAGGATCGCTTCGAGCAAGACATGAAAGGATTTTGGGTCGTGGGATGCCTCGGGGCTGCTGGGAGTCGCAGATGAACCGATGTCTCCCTGCCCTTGAGGGTCATGACTCAGAGGTTTCTGGTGGATTGTGTTCGGATGTAGTCAGGGATGGCATCCGTGATTCTGTTTTGACAGGGGGCATCAAGCGGATTAGCTTCATGAGATATGCACATCTGGTAAGCCATGACAACCATGCTTCATGCTTGGTGCTGGCTTAGCCCTTGAACTCACCCGTTACGCACAAGACAGTCTCATCTCGTCCAGGTGTGGTGAATGTTTGCGTGGCAATGCAGAAGAGTGCCGACGTCTCAGCATGGGCTTTGCCTCTCGTGCCTTGCTCCGCATTTGCGACTCCCATTGTCAAGCGTCTCCTCCAAGGTTTTCACGTTGGCTGAGCGCTTCCAGAAGGAGGTGCAGCGCTACTACTACGTGCTCGCCTTACCTGCAACCTTGAACGTTTCGGGGGACCGGAGGCAGGAGCTCCCTCGGCCATCGGGAAGGACGCTAGCACGAGGGAGCCAGAATTCTCAACAAAAAAGGATCCACAGACGATCTCTTGAGTTGGCAGCTTGTTAATCGCATCTCAAGGTCGTTCAAAGCCCCCGCAAGAGCTGTTCGGCCCCCATGTTGCCGAGGTCACCCCGACATCGTACCTGGAGTTGATCAATGCATTTAAAGGCCGGGACACACGGATGGTACCTCTTCACCTCAAACCTCCAGATTATGCCTGATTATGCACCCACCAGGTCTTTTGGCCAACAAGCAGGACGAGGTGTCCAAGATCAAGTCAAGGCCCGGTGGCAGCGAATCTGTCATGCACAGGAGCGTTGGCAGTGCTTGGACAGTCCTTACAGTGATGTCTACAGTTCTGAAGGGATTCGAGCATCGGGGCGACTGTTCTGAAGAGGTATGATGTTGGCCTGGACAAGATCATGTCCACTGAGGAGCAAGTCACCACGATGCAGGCCACCGGCTCATGAGCCCCAATGGCTCACTGTCCAGCCACACCTGTCCTACCTGGGATAGGCTATTGAGTGGAAGGTTTTTCAACGTATCGATGCAGACACTCCCAGGCTGAGCTGGAGGAGCTGAAGCCCACGCTGAAGAAGACAGCGGAAGAAACGGTCCGCCCCCGCTCCTTCAGGTCTCTTGCCGGCTTCGGCCATTAACCAAGACTATAAGGAGCCGAGCCAGAAAGCGCAAGCCGAATGGAACTCGCTGATCACGAGCTGGCATAGCGTAGTTTACAGCTTATGCGAGAGTGCAAGGGCAGAGACAGGCCCGGCCCGAACCCTTATGCATTCAGATCTGTCGCTTCCACGAGCGTGCAAGCAGAGCATGCGCAGTTGATGCTTTCATGAGTGGCGGATCCTTGCAATATCTTGCAATATAGGAGAGGATCGAAGGCGAATGAAGTAAGTGTTCTGTTACAGTACGGTGGGCTCAGGGTTCTGGAATGAGATTCGTCATCGAGGAGCCTTTATAAGTACTGGAGACTTAGCTGCTCTGTTGCATTCCGGATGTTCATCCGGTCCGGGTTTTAGTCACTCCTTGGCCTTGCAGAGCCGATGGACAGAATCTCCCGGTCGGACACCCTGAGATCCGGACTTTTAGCGCCTTGCCCGGAGCCTCGCAGCGCCGGGCTTTTCGAAGGGCTTTAGGAGGGACCCTTAATAGGGACCCTTGTAGGTTATTGGGGTTAATATGGGGACTACCATTAAGGGTCCCTATTAGGGGTCCCTCCTAAAGTCCTTAGAGTTTTGGTGTAGCTGAAGCTTCTTGCCGGCTTCTTGGGACCCGAACCCCGCACCTCCAATCTTGGTGAGCTGGGATCCGCCACGCTGCTACTGTAGCTTTTGCAGTGGGCATGCTCCATCCCATCTTTACCAGTTGCATTGTGGAGGATATCTGGGTTTTACGACTGCGATACGACCGCTGCACTTCGCTTGTCTCTTTCACTAGGCAAGCACGATGAACACTGATAGAGCCCTCCCAAGCGCTACCAATCGCAACGTCAGCAAGCCTGTCAGACCTTCTTTCGGTTAGAATTCGTGCGAAAGTTTAGCTGAGTCTGCGAACAGAACCCTTGGAAGTTCATGTCAACCCTTCGACTTGAATATCGCACACATGATGTGCCTCTCCGTGGGCGAAAGCCTTCATCTTTGTCTCCGACTCCTACTGCACAGGTGAAGGCATCAGTACGGACTCGCCTTGCCTTGGGGACGTTGTTGCTGCTCGGCGCCGCCTTCTTCACTGCCTTGTATGAAGGAGGCTGTGTCGGGAGCTGCTTGCAGTCAGCTTCTACTGGGTCTTTGGTGATTTTTTTTTGTTTGTGTTGTATGTGTGTGTGTTTAAGGAGGGCTGCCAGGCCAAAGAAGTACCGTTCTCTGGTTGCGTGTGCGTCGAATTCGGCCGTTGCCCCAAAGAGTGAGGCAACAATTTTTTGGTTGTTGTGTTGCGGTTCTTTACAGTTGGATAGATCAGGCTGCAGGACATCAGCATGCTTCGCGCTCTACGCCGCGGCAGCGTCGGGTTCTCTAGTGGCCGCACCCTGACACGGCCCACACTTGTCCGCTTCAGCTGTGATCTTGGCCCGGTTGGCCAACGTACCCGAATAGCTGAATATAGCCCTTTGCAACGAACGGTGCTTGCAGGTGTCATTTCGAGACGGCGACTGTACAGTGTACTGGGCAGCCTGCTCGGCTCCTTGACTCAGGGTTTCGGCAGGACAGTGGATGCATGGCAACAACATAAGTTGCTTTTGATTGCTGCCCTCCTTTCACACTAAGGCTTGGTTCCAGGCTCCCTGCATCTCCGCAGGAGCAAGAGGCCCAGAGATCGCACTGGATGATCACTGCGTTCAAACCCTGCTCTCAATTCGCGGCCTTGGGCACTCCAGCTTTATTTCCCGCATGTTGCTGCAGCCTCCAGGCTCAAACTGGGCAGGGTCGAACATCGCGCCCCCCACACGTCTTGCCTACGGATTTTGCACCACGATGCCGATGCTTCTTGCGGTTCTGACCGCACTGCCTTGGGCGACATTCAGCTTCGAGACATGGCACCTTGTTGATGTTGCACAGGTGGTTTGCCCCACGCCAACAAGCAGCAGCTTGCCTTTCAGGAAAAAGCGTGTCGGAGATGGCAGCGAATTTTGCGCCGTTCCGAACGTAAGATATGTATCGTATCAATACCACGCGACTTGCACACCGTGCCAAGAAAGTATATGAAGGCCAAACCCACATACTCATGTGCATATAAGTAAGTAAGTAAATAATTAAATAAATAAATAAATAAATAAATAAATATATATATATATATATGTATAAATGTTATAAGTTAAAACGTGGTTTGTGAGTGTGTGTGTGTATATATACATATATCCTAATATCCGTAAAGAGAGAGAGAGAGAGAGAGAGCCATCCGGCGCGGGGAGCCTAACCTGCTCCCTG